ACATTTTGGTTACAAAGATTCATTGGGGAATCTTTGCCGTACCTTGGAATATTTGTGAGAGATTATCTCTGGAACGATGGACTGTTCTATATAATTTCTAATTCCTTCTAAAAACTACCACTTGGATATGGATCAAACGGATTTTGATCACAGTATATATAATATTGTTTTAAATTTTTTTTCGATATTAGCTAGGTATAAATATGTAGGCAAGCTAGCATTTAACTTGTTACATTTTTGTATACAAGAGATATTGTTTCTTTCACAAGTATATATAATTTTAAAATATAATATCAATAAATAAAGAAATGATATTTACTTATCAAAAAAAAAAAAGAATAAAAGTTAATAAGTTAATGAATAAATAAGGTTAATCTTAATTTTAGATAGTTTTACTTGAAAAATAGTAATGAAAAATTTATATAATATGAATTTGAATATACTATATACAAAAATCTTATAAAACAAAATATATATCAGTAGAAAAAAAATTATTATGTAATTAAAATATAAATTAAATATAAAAATTATTGAAAATTATTAATTAAGATATTAAAATTATATGATAAAAAATCTTTAATGTGATAATTAATAAATTAAAAAAATTTTTTTATATATTACACAGATAAAAAAATTATGTATTATTAATTAAAAACCAGCTTGGTCAATAAATATATTATGCAATTAAATAAAAAAATTTTTTTATTAATTTATTATTTGTTATATACTTTTTTTGATTTTATTAAATCATTAGAATAATATTTTTTTGTTTAAATTACGTATTTTAATTTATTTACAATATAATATAATAAAAATGATTTTTAACTAAAATAAGATATGTATACTAATTAAAAACATTGTTTTCTAAATTAAATTAGCATTTGAACACGTGGAATTAGTTATAAAGATCTAATAGGCGACTTGAGTCGAAACAAGCTTTTTATCTGACATTCTACAGATAACAAATTTTTTCCATGCACCGTTCTTTTGTACTTGAATATGATCAACGTGTATTATGAAAGAATATAACCGTTTATGCAATACACTGTCAACCCCTATTATTATCGATCCTGTTAATATCAACATACCATTGTTAGCAACATTACGCGTACAGAGTTCCTGTGCCACGCTAATGTTTACAAAAATCCGTTGGTTGTCATATCTGTGGATCTTTTATAATTCGGAGTTAATATACCTTCTAACCATATAAAGTTTTAATTTCAGGCGACTATTAATTACCCGCCTCCTCCGAATATCGAACTTCTGTGTGATGCTAAGCCACCGAAAAAATTACTCTCGTGTGAAAAAAAGGGTGCCAGAAAAATAGGCCCAACATAATTTTTTCCACTATTTGACAAATTATTTAATTCTTCCACTATCTGTCATCTACCATCTATCTATTCTGCACGTTAATATTTCAAAAATACCATTGTAATTTACATTCAAAAAGGAAATGGCGACTTCAAAGACTAAGGGCACAACAAATAATTCGAATGCTCCAACAGCTTCTACGAACACGACTTCAGCCGGTGGTTACCTGAACTCCAATTCGGCAAAACATAATGGCACAATTGCCATTTCTGAACAAAGTACCAAACGAAATGGTAAAGGGAAAGAGGTTATTGGTACTTCTGTGAGTGTTCTCTTCTTGAACTCTTCCTTACTTTACAAACCTGCTCACTCCAGAATCCTTTATTCTACGCGCAGATTGATTTCAACACATTCGAGGTATCGGTATTGCGTAGATATAAGCGTATTCATAAGCTAAAAGTCAAAGAATATGCAAGTAAAGAAGAACTTGTGTCCGCGGTCTCGAAACATTATCAGGCTCAAACTCCAAAAGAAGTCGACGCAATTGCTGCTTTTATCTATTCAGTTCATCATCAAGGTTCGTCTGGATATTTTTTGGCAAACCGAAGCACAAACTCTCAGACGAATAATAGTTTAACACGTATTAATTTTTCTCTTATTATTAGATACGATGCTGAAACTGCCGATTCCTTAATCACAACAATTCTTAGGTCTTTTATTCAATTAAAAATCTAGTTTCCTTCTTTTTGATTTTTTATGTAAATGTAAATTATGGCAGTAAGTATTTGTTCAGTGAGTAAAAATCAATCAATTCAGGTAATAATAATAATTTTTCTTTATTTCACACAACAATAATAATTTTAATCAACAAAATTTTAAATCAATTAAATTTCGGTCGAAATATTACAGCATGATGACGTACAAAGATCATGAATCAATAACTCCTAGCATTTCAAATTCCAAACAACAATCTAACTGATAGTGAATAAAACATTTATTCATTATCTATCGATCAGCATATTATCCACCATTTCCGCAATTGCCAGCGAAGAAGTCAACCCCGGACTTTCAATTCCCGACAAATTTACAAATCCTTTTAGTCCATGTTCAACCTCTTCCTTAATTACAAAATCTTTAAATGGTTCATCTAACCCTGATAATTTTGGTCTATTTAAGATGTGTTTCGTTTGTTATTTTGTAAATATTTAATAGATAACATTAGAGCATTAGTATTATTAATTAGACGCGGTTATCAATAAAAAAGTTTATCTGTTTGTAAACCTTAATAATATGCATTAGATAATGAAAGATATACCTAATTCCTGCGTAATCGGCATACAATCCTTCTTTCTTAATCCCTGGTAGGTAATTCCTAACAGCTTCAAAAAATATGTCTCTCCTCTTATCGTCAATCTTATAATCATCAGGTTTGTTGATATACAACACATCAGGTCCAAATCTTATCTTACCATTGAGATCTAATGTAAGATGTATTCCTAAAGACTTCAAGTTTTCTGGAGGTACCGGGTAAATAAGGTGTTGCACTTTTAATGCTCCGCCATCTCGATAACCAAAATAGTGTCCTTTGACATAATAAAGTTTATAATGGTGCTCTGGTGGTAGTAACATATTTGCTATCCGATCGGAGTAGAGTCCTGCTACGTTTACAACTACCGGAGAGAAAACACGCGTTTTTGGTGCCGTTGAAGACGGCGAGGATAAGGATCGATCTACAGAATCAGCATCACTAATTTCCACGATGTACCCATCTCCACTACCATAATTTCCTCTAATAATATTGGTAACCTCCGAATTTACCACCAAATCACCACCTTTATCTCGGAACATCCATTCCAACCAGGACATGAATGAGTGCGAATCAAAAATTCCTGTTGTGGGAGATACCAATACCTCATTCGCTTTCACGTTTGGTTCTAAGAGTTGTTGTTGTTCTTTCGACAGGAAATAGGTCTTCACTCCGATATTTCGGGATTTTTCGTGTAAGGAAGACAAGTAGGAGGATTGATCATCAGTTCTGGAAACTATCCACTTGCCTATACGATAAAAGGGAATTGTCAACTTTTGATGAGGAGGTGAAAGGGTACTGCTAGAAAGGATAAAAGGGTGAGAAGGGATGTAATCGGAGACAAAGGAGTCTGTAGTTATGGAAGATGTGTAGTTTATTCGGGTTGAGGAAGAATCCTGATTTTGGGAAAATAATAGAGAATAAAGTAATTGCTTTCCGCGAATACATAATCGTGTTTTCAAGCTATCATTAGGATAATAGATTCCTGCGTGAATCACTTCACTATTTCTTGAGCTTGTAAATAATGCAAGAGTTATTGTGATTGATGAAGGTAGCATTCCCCGTACGCAATCATGTTATCACCTTGTTTCTTCGCCGAACCTAGAATTCTTTTCGACCAACAAAACCGACTTTCCTTGTCGTTTCGAGAGTCGCTCAGCTATAGCAAGTCCAACTACACCAGCACCTATTATTAGGTAGTCCACAGAGAATTCGGGTGCTGATATCATCAATGGAGAATTTGATGATGGACTTATGTTGCTTGAAGAATTTCTCTTATTTGAGGAATTGATAATATTGAATGAATGATCGCATGCATGCTTTGAAGGGTGTGAATTTAAAAGCGATAGGGTATTGTAATGACGAAACGAGAATCGAAAAAGAGACGTCGTCATCCTTTTTGGAATATTGAATGCATCACTCATGATTATCAATATTTTAACCTTATTTTATTAAGGCAACTAAACACGTGATAACTTTAAAACGATTACTACTATCAATGTAATTCATATGATTTTGCATATTGGACCAATATACTGTATATAATGCATCTTAAGCGAAAGCCGAAATTCTTATTCTTTACCTACAGGAGCAGAAAGTTGAATCAGATTTACAAAATAATAAAAAGGTTGAGCTTGCTACAAAATTAGAAGGCAATATAAGCAGAACTGAACCGTTACTATTCAACGGTCTCTATTTACCATCATAATGTGTTAAAGAGAATAAAATAAGGATTTTATTGAGTCCATAAAGATAAGTAATAAAAGAAATCTATCGAGTCCATAAAGACAAGTAATAAAAGAAAGATATTTGTAATCATGTGATATAAAATTCATTTTCTTAATCTTATTTTTAATTGAATTTTCAGCTTTCAAATTTTAAATCAAATCAAGTCTTTTTTTTTTATATATGAAAAAAAATTAGATTTTGTTTTTTTTGTTAAGGTGAGACATATTTTATGATCTTTTTTAATAAAGTAATTATTATTATACAATTAATAATATGGACATAATTACATGAACTATATATACTGTATATTAGTTTATAAACTATGGTACAAACAGTCTAGTTACATCCAATAATTTTTAATAATTTTTTTTTTTTGTTAAGTAAGGCATTTCTCGTGATCTTTATTAATAGAGTAGTTAAGATATTACATAATTAATATTAAGATACTAAGATACATCATTATATATGTCAGCCTACCACCATTTTAAGTATATTTCTGATAAAAAACCTTGAGGCAAGAAATAGAGAAAATAACTACTTAGTTTTGGAGGGCTAATGCCTCCCTAATAATTTATTTTATCCTATACAGGCATGAATAAGTTTTGGAAAAATAATTGAAGAATGATGTTAGTTAGTTTGTCATTTTGATTTGTGTTATTGGTTGTTGGATTGTTCGAAATTGTTTGTTGTTGTTGTTGGAATTGATGTTTTTTGTTTTTTTGTGTATTGTGAGATTTGTTGGTATTGTTATTGTTGGTATTATTATTATTGTTGTTTTTTTTATATTTGGTGTTTTGTGAAATAATTTTTAATAATTTTAAAATACATATAAAGAAATTTTATTTAATTAATAATATTTTAAAAAAAATATGTAGTTTAATAGTTCTCAATGTAATCTTTAATGCACTATATATTTTTTATTAATTTTATTATAAAAATTTTTTGTAGTTAGATTTTAATAATAATAATGGATTTTTCAATATTATGTAATATCATGTGAAAGTATATGATTGGTATAAAATGGATATATGTATTGTGGCGCAGTAGCTTGATATAAAATAATTTGCCAGTAGTATAAATAAAAGTATAATAGTCTAATAAAAGAAATAGTAATTACATTTGTAAAAAAATGATAATAAATATATCTTAATTAATAAAAAAACTTGCTTTAAAAAGAAACCATCACCTTCAAGTAAAATTCAATAAGACCAAAAAAGGAATTGTGACATGAATTAAAAAAAAGCCTAGTTTAAGAAGAAAGTAATATTAATAAAGAAACCACTAATCAAATCTTAATATATCTTAAACAAGAAGACTTACTTTAAACTTATTGTGACATGAGTGCTAGTCCCAGGTTAGTAACAAATTTGCTGAAAAAAACAATAATATTTAATGATGATTATAAAATTGAACACTTGTTATCTTCCCTCTCCAATAAAAATTGCATATATCCAAAATTAGGAAAATTTAATTAATTATTAAATACCTATTATATAACAGATCAAAGAATCAATTAGATACTATAGTAGTCAAAAGAATTATAATAGATTAAGATCTGAAAACTAACTTGAACAAATGAAAGTATTAATAAAAGAACAACTTGTGGCATTAACAGAAATATTAATAAAACTATGTACTGTGAATTAAATCGGAGTAGAAAGAACTTCTGAAAAATAATTCAAGGAATAAAATATTTTGAGATAATGTGATATATACTTCTCTAACATAAATCACCAGATGTCGATCAAATTAAAAAAATAATTTACAAATGAAACAATTTTTTATTTATTTATTTATTGAAAATTTATATATTAGAAAAAAAAATTCTATTAAATTCTAGATATTTAAATGATTTATTTATATATTTAATATCTAATAAGATAGTCTTTAGATTTTTTAACAGCTTTAGTATACCTTGGCATACTTTTTATCAAATTTTCATAAATTAATTTGTCTATTTTAAATCATTTTTCTTGCAAGAAATTAAACAATTCTGTTTCATTTGTTAATAGTAAGTTGTGCTTATGAATTCTATATTCTAATTCATCTCAGAGATGTTTTATGGGATTGAAGTCTGGACTTTGAGCAGGCTATGAAAGATAATTAATATTTTTTTCTTCTATCCATTCTTTTACTATATATGCATGATATGTAGAATAATTATTATCTTGAAATATATAGTTATATCTATTTTCTAAGAATGGTAGTAAATTATTATTAAGTATTTCTATATATTCTTTTGCAGTTTATTAACCATTAATTAATATTAATAGTTCTAAACCATTTATAGAAAAACAATTCCAGATTATAATATCTCTTCTACCAGATATAAATGTTGGCATAAGACAATCTACATCATATTTTTTCTTATATAATTATTAAATATAGTCATAACTATACATGTGGTATAAATTATTTTGCTATTGATTCAATTCCCAAAATCCTCAAAAATAATTGCGTCATGACTCAATTATTTATATGTTTTAATAGTAACTCAATTAATTGCGTCAAATAATTGCATCAATTGCATCAAGAATCTATGAATTTTAGTAACATGTATAGTCATAACCATCATCTCCATATACTTTAAATTGTGATTTGTTACTTCAAATAATTGTATTTTATTTAGAAATTCAATTTAATTATTCAATTGCTCAATTATAATAAAATTTTTTATTTTTTTTACTAATAAATAGTTTTCTTTTTTCAACTCTAATGTAAAAGTCTTAATAAAATTATTAGTGATTTCAAAAGACAGTGAACTTAAGTGATTATTATTTTAATGTCAACACAGTTGAAACTTTATTAAGGTCAAAAGGGCATTCTTTTATACATGTTGGCTTTATACAATATAAAAATACATAAATAAATAAATATAAAAATATATATATCTATATAAGGCTTAACCTTCAAAAATATATATACTTAATTAATATAAAGAAATATAAAAGAAAATAAAAAGAAAATAATATAAACAATATGCATGCTCTATGGCCTTATGTTCCTAATTTGGTTACATTGGCTTATAGTAATTAATTAATAATGTTTTGATAGCATAGCACATTGTCAAGGATCAGAATCATATTGTATATATATCTAACGATCATCTGAGAACATGTCTTAGACTTATAGGTTATCAGGAGCAGATTTGATACCTTCTGGAATGTCTGGGTCACCTGGTACAATAGGTTCCATAGTGCAATTACAGATTAAAATTGTTATATCTAGTATAATAATCTTCTTGTAAAGATATCTCTATAAGGTATATATAGAAACTTCAATTGATATTAATTATATAAATTCTTTTTGTATAATATTTAATATTGCTTTACAATTTTTTTTAATAATTCATACTAAATATTATATATTACAATTTGTTATTTTAGATGGTTTTTTACTTCAGGTAAAGGGTTTAACTTTTTCAGCCTTTTTAAAGTAATTGACTATATTATACATGTGGTGTAAATTATTTTACTGTTGACTCAATTCCCAAAATCCTCAAAAATAATTGCATCATGACTCAATTATTTATATGTTTTAATAGTGACTCAATTAATTGTGTCAAATAATTGTGTCAATTGCATCAAGAATTTACAAATTTCAGCAATATATATAGACTATATTATAAACTGTTAATCATATGATATTAAGTGTTTTTGTAATTATTGGACATAAAGAATCAGATCTTCAAGTATTTACTATCAAATTACATATATCTTTAAATAATTCTTTATGTTTTTGTACTATTGTAAAAAAAATATTAAACAAAAAAAAAATTCTACTAAATGCTTAACTTATAAACATACAAACAAAGTAGGCTATTTATTTAATTTCCTATTTAAGTAATGTAAAAAAAATTAAAAAAAAATTTTTTATTTACTAATTTTATTTAAATTTGATTGATGTCTGATGATTTATACTAGGAAAGTATATTATTAATGCTAGCAATGATACTTTAATCAAGTATAATATGCATCAGAATGACCAAGGCACAAAAAAATAAATCAAAAAGAAGAAACAATATTTGTAATTACTTGGAAAGTATACTTATTAAATAATAAAATATTTATGCTATATATTATTTCAGCATTATAGCAACAAGTAATAAAAGTGTTTCTATGTATATAAATATTAAACAAAGCTTATAGTGATATACTTAAGTGTTTTCACAAAACTAGCACTATACATAATAATAAGAATTTATAAAACAGTTTGAACAGAAAGTCTTGTAAAAAAACTTCTGATCAAATATAAGAATATAATCAAGAGTATCATCTGAAAATCTAAGTATATAGTAATAATGTGATATACCCTCAATAGCAATAATAACACTTCAAATACAAATAATAGCAATTGTAATTAAAATAGAACAGTTATATGCATTGAAAAACAAAACTGTTAGACTTTATAACTTATCTGTAGCATGTTAGCTAGGGCTCTGAAAAGTACTGAACTAGTATCAAACTGGTATCAATCTATAATAAATTTAATATATGGGTTGTAACCTATTTATATATTTTTATAGTAAATTTAAGTATTGAACTGGTATCAAAGTGGTATTGTTAGAAGTCCTAATGTCAATAATTGATAATTTTATACCAATGCAATATCTTAAGAAAGTTAATGATATAAAAACTGAATGTTGTCACTATATTAAGGATAAATAACATTATCCTGATCAATAGAATTACTTATG